GACCCAACAATATTATCACCAGGGAAGCCAAGGTTCTCGGTGAAAAGTCAACAAAGCAAGCCTACACACTTGTCTCTCCAAAAATCTTACAGACAAAACACACAAGCCAAGTACAGCAACATCCATGCTGTTCAGTTACAGATGAGACTAGATCAGGACATCACATAGTTATCCTGTAGGGCAAACCAGTGCAAAGATGCAGAACGTAACTGGTAGTGGCAAAAGGACACATCTGACAGGTGGGAGGAGGGGAAAGTTGCACGGTTTGCTGGATCTGAACAATGCGCCTCTTGTTGCAGTAGGAAAGCCCTTATGAAGGGGAACAGAAAGGCTCTCCTCACTACGTTGCTTTTACATGTACGAGAGGGGAACTTTGAACCAAGCTCAGTTCATACAGTACCCGTCCCAGATAGTTCTGCCAACATAATTAAATGAATCAGACCTGGATGTCCATTTACCCAGGGAACCCCTTTGAGGAGGTACCTATTCCAAAGCCCTGGGCAACACAGCCTCTTCCTCTACTCTTGTCTGTGTGACAAAGCTCTGGCCTGCGGTACTCCCTCCTTTTCCAACTACAGGTGCCTCCCATGCTATAACCATGACATTTCACAGGAGCAGCTAAACTCTCTGACTCTATAATTCACGTATTGCAATCTGCAGAGAGCCAACAGCCACCCCCTTCTCACACCCTGTGACTCATACTGCACATCAGCTTCCTAATCCTTTGCTATCAGCACAGGTCCCAGCTGCCTTTCTATAAAAAAGGCTACAGTAGAATTGATGATACCCAACTGAAGAGCTAGGTAAAGCAGAAGCTGGCAGGTCCTGCCTAGTAAGCTTTTGCATGGATTGCTGTCCAGAACATGCTTCTTCCATAACACTGGCAGCAAAACCAAAAAAGACTGTTCAAATCCAGCTAGTCAGGAACTCAACTACATAACAGCAAACCAGAGATCAGTCATCTATCTTGCAGTGTTTTAAGAAGCAGAAAGGACAAGTTGTGAAAGGAAAAATTATAATCCAGGCCTTGTGATAAGATAGGGCTTAGGCTCTTCTTTACTCTGTCACTGATGTGAGAGATAACTTTTTTTTTCTCTCTCCAAACTGCAGTTGCACAACCAAAGCTCTTCTGGAAGCAAAGCAAACTCCCTTCCTCATCACACTTCTGCTTCTGTGGCATCATCTCATACTGCTTAATATGATGCAATACCATATGATGAAGCTTACTTCTCTATGCAAGTCATTCAGGGCCTCTCAGCCTTGAATGTACCTTCTCCCAGTTTACTGGGAAAGAAATGCAACACAGCAAAATGACAGCAGTAGATAAGAAAAAGTAAAGCAGAAGAGGGGTTTCAGCTCTGACAGCTACCTCAGCTGCTGCTGGAATCCTCAGTCAGGATATAATACTTTGGTCAAGGACCTACTACAGTCACCTAACATAGCCAAACCCAGGGGATCCTGCAGGGCAAGTCCTGAGGGTGCCATAGGGCAGCCCTTCCCAGCAAAAACACTGCAGTCATTCATCTAACTGCCATGCAACCTCCTCATAACCCAAAAGCTGACTGCTTCTGTGACGGAGAAGGGGAAACTGCCTTTGGTGCACAGCTGGAAAGGGAGCACCAGATAAAATGGGTAGAAAAATTTCATTTCAGGCTCCCGTGTTCATTTATAGAAACTTAGGCATTC